CTGCCCTGGGGCCAGCAGATGGAGAGGCAGTGAAGGCAGCTGAGTCCCACAGGACGGACTCCAGGGGTTAAGTCCAGGACTGGCAGCTTAAAAAAATCACACCAAACACTGTGTGTGTGCCCCAAACCTCAAGAGACTGGAGGAGTGGGAAGTGTGGTATGGCCATCTCCCCTGGGGGGTAATTTCTCACTGCGCCCCGCCCCCCAGCCCCAGTAAGCACACATGTCCGATAGCAAAACTTAAAACATCTCCATTTGCTACACAAGGAGGAATTACGTTGCTCCCCTGTTTAAGTGATTTCAATGGCTTTCCAAACTTTGGGGCTGGCTCCATAGCCAAGTGGTTAAGGGAGCCAGATCCCATGTTCAATGGCACTTTGAATTTCAGCCTTGGCAACTTGAGAAATACACAAGGTGTGAGTGTGTGTGTGTGAGAGTGTGTGTGTGTGTGTGTGTGTGTGCATACATACGGAAGAAGGGACTGTGGCGTGACCACACACCATGGTGGAGGGGTGCTTTCTCCCTCCCTCTCTCTCTCCAATGAGTGCACCCACTCTCTTACAATTTGAAGGAAAGAAGGAAGGAAGGAAGGGGGGAGGAGAGGGGAGGGGAAGGGAGGGGAGGGGAGGAGAAAGGAGGGGAGGGGAGGGAAGGGAAACAGGGGGAAGGAAGAAAGAAAAAAGAGAAATACTTTGTAATAGGCTCACAATTAAGGTGGCCATCTTATTTATCACAAGGGGAAGAAAGGCCACGGCTGATGAAGCTGGAAGTGTGGCAGACCCTGGCTATCACCCTGGACTGTCGGGGTCAGCCCTCCTCACAGGCGCCATCAGCCAGCTCTGAACTCCTCCTCTTCCACAAACTACTGTTCGGCCACACTGAACTTACTCTGCAATCTCCCACTTCACAAGTTTTTTCTGCATGGGACTTCACGAACTATTCACTTTACCAAACATAGCTATTTTTCATGTGCTACCCCTGACCCATCTCTCACCCCTCTGACCACTCTGATTCCCTCAAATACCATCTTCAGGTTTCAACTTACATGCTGCTTACCCTGAAAGTTGTCTTCAACCCCTACCCCTGTTTGGATTTTGCACTGTTTATTCCACATTATTTCTATGTGTTTCCTTTTTACCTAATACTTCTCCTATCACCTTCATTAGTCTATACAGCGTAGAAGATGTTTCCCCGAGTTGTACCCATAGAGCCTGGCATACACAGGTATTGAATAAATAAGAATGAATGAGGATCTCCAGTGACATCTACAAATGAAAAGAAATAGAGAACTTTTCAAAAAGATCTGTGGAATAACTACATTATCTTTCCATAGCAGCTGCATACTTGGTTTTGGGTATGTATGTGTGCGTGTGTGTGCTTTAAAAAGTTCTATTACTTTAAAGGTATAGAGGTGTATTTTCAGGTTTTTTTTTTCTAGTACTATGAATTTATGTAAGGTAGAACAGCAATCTTTAAAAGTAAGTACGTTCTCATATGTTAAAGACAACATTCACATTAATGCCCATGAACTGCATTTTTCATATTTTAACTGTTCAATTAGTAACCCATGTACAAATGTCATATTTCACTATACCTTGTTTCTACTTCAAAAGAAAAAAAAAGCAAATATTTCAGCTTATTCCCAGAACAAAAGGGATTAACTGATTATTATTATATTCAGGAATAGTGTAAAATTTATTTTGGGACTAAGTTTATTCAAGTGATTCCCTACAGAAGTAAGATTCAAAGTGACAGTGGTTAATATAAATGAGCTGAAGGGGAAAAAAGAGTTAAATGGTAAGTCAAAAAGGGAAGAAAGATCTTTTCTAAACATTGCTGTTGCCAGGCACATCATCGCGTCTGGAACCTCATCCACTTTCAATACTTGTAACTTGAATATACATTTCTTCATGCTGACTTCTCACCCAACCCTTAGTCACTCTGCTATATAAATATGGAAAAATAAAATAGAAAATAAACATTTTCAATAACGAAATTTGACTATTATTATACTATTTTATCAAATATATCTTCTCACCCCATGGAAAGTCATACCACTCTCTTGACCCAAATATGTTTCCATGCTTACATTCTTGTTGCTAACTATTCCATTTCAAACACTCTTGATAGGACCCCTAAATCACTTCTTTACCTGAAATACGCCTCTTTAGTTTCTAATATTCTCAAACCAAGACAAGGATCTCAAAAAAGAGTATAACAAGCTTCTCATAGCTAACCGCACCCTCCCTGGCTAATATCAGCTTATTGTGTACAGTCTAAGACCAGATCAAGACATCTTCAGAGCATTTTTAGCTAAGAATCTCATTCCTTTAACTTTCTAAACATACTTTGTCTTTAATATCAAGCAACTTTTCTGCTGTGATATGATCCTTATTCTTCTAGAACTACAATTTATTTAACCTCCTGAACCACTACATATTACTTTCATATTTTTAAAAAATTTACGGACAGTACATGTACTTGCTAGAGAGAAGCAGAGAAAGAAAGAGACCAAGAGAGGGAGAGAGCATGGTCCAACGGGGCGTAGTCACGTGACTATCTCTTCTCCCTAACTCCATCCTGTTGGGATTTTGGGCACACATGTACATGAGCCTGGTATGTTTTTCAAGTCATCAGGGCTGGGATTCAAACTGTGTAATTCGCCATGTGGGATCTGGCTCCTTTAACCACTAGGTCATGGGGCCAGCTCAGCAACAGGAATTTTGAAATGTTTTGTGTAGACTTTTGGAGCAAAAATGAGTGACAAACTTGGTAGGAAATGGGCAAAGGTGAATTGAAGTCTGTCTACCAATATTTTACCAGTATTTGAGACCAGAAAACCACTCGGCTCTGAAAACAGTATGATGTTTTCAAACATGAATTGGTAGAGGGACAGGAGGTGGGGTGGAAGAAAAGGAATGCTGAAATGATCCTGCAGAAAAACAGATCTATTCGTCAGATGTACTGGAATACCAGTCCCTGTCTAAGTAAAATGAACCTAAACAAAATCACTAGCAGGTTCTTTAATTCTGTACTCTTAACTTCATTTCAACGAAAAATGACCTCCCGGCTACACTGTATTTGCCAACTGAAATTCTCAATCTCTTAACTATTTTGTCACAATATAATCAAAAGCAAATTCTCTTTTCTAAATAGAATGTAGGCTATTAAAATACTACGCATTATTTGAAAACACATTTACTTGAAAACTGCTGTTCAAAACAAGATTCCGCTGAAGTCTCAGAAAGCGGCCCCTTAGAAGGTATTGATTACAGGTGTAATGCGTCCTCACCTTCACGTTGGGTTTTGACAGTAGTTTCAACAGCTCTCTGATCTCACTGCTTAAGGGCTTGCTCTGAAGCTCTTCAGCCAGCTGTGAGGGAGATTATAGGGACACAGAGAACATTCAGTAAGAGCGTTGTGAGGTCTGGTGCGTGACCACTGAGCATCTATCTCGTTCGAGGCTATTCCGTGCCAGTGTTTAAGGAGAAGTCAGCGTGAAAGAAAACAGACCATCCATCACTGCTCTTCTCCGTTGGCCCTTACTAGTCCAGATCGAAGCCCAGGCTCTCAGCAGAGTAAAGCACGAGTGGTCCTATCAGCCGGTCCCCCTCTGATTTACTACAATGAGGAAAAACCCCAGCACTTCATCTATGTGAACGGTCTTTCGCATACAGACAAAGAACCACTTGTAAAAAAGACTGGATCAAGCTTTAACACTGTGCAAAAAAAAAAAAAAAAATCTTCTGAATGAGGTGGTGAAATCCATAGGGTTTCCAAAAAATTCACAGTAGCTTTGCTGTTTAGAGCTACGGTAAAAAGAACTAGAATGCTCCTAATAGAGCAAATGGTCTGAAACTTTCATGTTTGCCTAGAGAGACCAAGAAGTCTGTACAATATATAACCATGGTCATCACAAAATGACCCAAAACAGGATGGCCGCCGCCTGGTACCACACGGGCTGACTGCACGGACAACGGTGATTAAGAATCCACATTTGTTGTTCACATCTCAAGGAAAGGTGGAAACTTTGAACCTGCTGCGTGTTCTCCATAGAGAGCTTCCCGGCAAAATTTCTGATATATTTCATGCTTTAGGGAGGATCAGTTCATTTCCAAAAGACGAAAAGCAAGACTCAAACGGGGAAAAAAAAGGGAGGGGGGGGCTGAATTATGAAATATGCACTACATAATTCAGAATACAAGAATGCATTTTGTGCTTAATATCCTTCTGAAAACGTTGCATGAAATTTCCGCTTCCCCCTAATATTTCTACCACACTAAACATAATTGTTATCTCTGGAAAAGAACTTTTCCCTAGAAAAAGAGTATAACAAACTATAAACAAAGACAACATAAAAAAATTTGATGCAGTATTACATTTCAAAAAATTCCCTTTAGTTTTTCAAGCTAATGCTTTTGCAGAAATTTTAACTTACAAGAAGATACAAAAGTTTCTTTGCACTTAATCATTTAATGTGTAACAATATATTTTACCATTTAAATGCACAGCTCTGGTGAACTGTGAGATATTATGGTATATCATATTTACATAATAATCTTTTATTTTTTGGAAAAGAAATACTGGCATAACGAATGGGCCTTAATGACACTGGTGTATACACAAATGTTTTTCAAAACCCTCCACAATAAATGCCTGAAAGTTGTTTTTTAAGCTTTCTCAATTGGTACTAAACCTTACTCCTGCAACTAAATCTAAACCATTATTCATCTTCATCTCAAAAAGTTTGTTCTGGAACACAGAAGACGCTTCATTAAACAGACACATTAAAACATACTTGCAATCTCTTTAGATAAAAACAGAAGGGCAAACAACCGGGGAGTAAACCCATAGCACATAACTTGGATGTTGACTAACGTGCGCTTTATTTTCTAATTCAGATATAAAATATATCAAAGAAAACCCATTTCTTAAGATGGTCAACTTTTAAAAATTATATTATGACCCTGATAGCTTTCTAAATTGAATTATGTTTTATCGTAATGAAAAGAAAAAAATTAAAAAGCAACATATAAGCTACAGGATGTCACTACAAACCTCTAAACCTTCACACCAAATATATTTCCCGTCCAGCCTACTGTCCTTCATAGTTATTCCAGGTGTGCTCTCAATTCATCCGAGTCCGAAAGCTAACAGTGAGAATCAGCACGTTAGTTCCCCCCCAGGTTTAAAATAAAATTATAGCTACAGGAAATTAACTACTCCATCAATGCCAACTGCTTCGAAAATTTATTTTTTGGTTATGAAGGTAATTTGGAAAGGTCTAATATCCATAAATCATTACTATGCTTTATAATCCACTTTCAAAACAATCCTCTCTTTTCAGGTATTTCATATGCCTTATTCCTACATGCGTCTCTGTCTTTTTTTTTAGTACTGTCAGCAATACCATATCTCATCTGTCTTTATTTCTCCAAAGCATTCTTCTTGCCCGTGACTTTTCCAGAACACTAACAGCTGACAGCTTCTCTTCCCCCCACGGAGCTAAACCCTAAAATGTCTATTACGTAGTTATCAAGGCAGAAGAAGAGGATAACTACGTAGACGCAAAATGTTCAGGACAGGAAAGTGCTGAAAATCAGCATAATGTCAGCCTTGACTCTGTGATGACAGAACTTTTGGAAACATTTGCAACTTCTCCGGGGGCTCGCTCCTAGGCTCACACACAAGCTGTCTTGCAGCCGGGTGCGTCCTGCCCCAGCCAGGCCCGTGGCAGACACGTCCTGGCCAGCTCAGAAAGACACACTTACTTCATCGGCCAAGGCTGCCGCGCCATGGAGGATGGGCACGGGGCTCTGCTTCTCGTAGTAGTGCAGCTTTTCATGAATCTGGAAGAAAACCAAATGAACCTCAGTTCAGCTGTGGGAAGACAATCACAGATAGGCAAATCTACAAAAGGAATCTGATCCCTTGAACACTCTAAAATTATATGTTCATATAAACCTATGGATTGTACATAACTATGCATAATTCATCTGTTAAGGTCCAGTTGAAGTCAAATGGATTAAAAAAAAAAAAAAAAGCTTTATCAGACAGAACCCACATAAAAACTAAACCCTGATATTCCCCCTGAACAAACATGTTTGTTTTCTAAAATCTCTAACTTTTAAAATATATTGCTTTGATGCACCAAGGAAATGTTATACTTTATATTCCTGCTAAAAACATAAACTCTGATTTTAGCTAAGCAGTAAGCTGGCAGTCACATTCCCACAGGGTGACACGTAAGAGCCCCAGGAGCGAAGACGCCAGCCCCGTGCACAGCTGCACGTCACGTGCAGGACATCTTACCTAGCGCACGGCTTTCACTTATTACTCTTTTCTCAAACTGCTAACATTTTCCCCAAAACTCAAATTTCTAAGGAACAAATGTCTATAACCAAGAGACAGTTCTCATCACTATTCAGCCTAAACAGAATTTTTAAAAATGTAAAACGAATTATATTAAGAAATAAAAATGAAATTGGTTCTTTAGTTTTCATCATGACCCGAGAAACACAAAGGCAGAACTTATTTTAATGTAACTGAAGACAAATAGAAATCTCCAAAAAAAATCTGGCATTCTGAAGTTAAGAAATGAACGATGCATTGACAAATCGTAACTGTTGGCTCACGTTTAATCTATTTCAGCTCTTGTACAAGGTGTCCTCAACCTTTTTACTTGAAAACTCACCATAGACTCTTATTTGTAGTTGAAGAACATGGTCCCCCACTGCATAGATGGAAAATAAAAAACAGTTGCACCTCACGACTTCCCGTTTTTAATATGTATCAGGTGATATGCTCTTTAATTACACTCAAAGCTAACCCAATTCCCTTGTAAAAATCTGGAAGGTAGATTTCATTTTGATTAGCCAGAGGCTCAGAGAGGATCCCATTACCTTTTTGGCAACCTGGTGGTGATGCAAAGCGACAGGGAAAGAATTTTGACACTTATGATATTACCAGAATGATCAGGGCAACGTTTTTACTTCATAGCTCCAAAACTTTAAACATTTATCTCATCTGGGTAAAAATAAATTTTAAACAATACAAGCTATAGAAAGACTTGGTCTAGGAAGCTCTAAAAGTTTCATTTAAAATCAAGAGCTAAATGAGTTTTGCTTAAACAATCATCAAGTCTAGGTCACCTCAAAATATACCACCACAGAATACTCAACTGACCCGTCGAAAAAGGGATCTGATTTTATTGCCATTACATGTGTCTATATCTGCCCTGCTGCTATCATACAAAGGCACATATATTAAGTACTTACTACGTGCCTGTCTTACTGACATGAGCTGCCACACTAGTAACAGTCTTTAAGGAGTTCAATATTTTACTTCCTGAACCCTCAGAAGAACAGGAAGGAGAGGAGTGGAGCAACATCATCTCACTTGACAGATAAACAGACTTTGGAGTGCAATGTCTCGCTGCAGTCCCAGATAGGAAGTGCCGAGCTGGGATTTCAAGCTCCCGCCATCTGGCTCAGCCTCAGGGCTCTTAATCACCCACTTTCCTGCCTCTCAGACTAACATCTCGTCCGCCTTCTTCACCGGTTTCATTCAGCACCGAATGAACGTGACCTGTGTGCAGGGCTGAAATTCGTCTGGACAGATGTGTGACAAACAGTAAAGGCTGTTTTCAGCGGCCATTCGATGACTGCTGGTTCCTCTCCAGCCTACTCCCTTATCTTTTCATTCTGACAGCTTCCAATTTTCCTAGATTACCTTGTATTAAAATTATAATTACAACTTAAGCCTGCACACCCCAAAATAATGTTATTTTTCCACTTAATTTGCTTCTTCTGAGTGTTCTTTTAAAAAGACAGCCAGTTCTTCCTCCATCATCTTCTCTAGACCCTTGTCCCAGCGATATAATAACCCACCCTATGAGCTCACCCCTGGACTTGGTACTATACAAGAAATTTCAAATGTTCTAAATTTTCAAAATACTGGCAACACTGACTTTTACTTCACCATACATTTTATTTTAAGGTTTCTGCCATAAGGGCACATGTGCTCACTGGAGAGAGAAAGAGAGAGGCAGAGAGGGGAAATGAAAAATCACTCCCCCCCTCCCCGGGGGGGAGATGGCCACAGTATAATCTTTTTCTCCTCCATTCTCCTGAGATTTTGGGCATCCACACACATGCATTCAGCATGAGTTTCAAGCCACCATGTCCAGGACTTTAACCATGGTCAGCCATGTAGGAGTCTAGTGCCTTAACCACCATGCCACCTGCTGGTCCCTCGCAACATTTTTTTTTTTTTTTGAGAGGTTTTTGCTATAGGGCACGTGCGTGTGCCAAATAGCCAGAGAGAGATAGAGAGACAGAAAGTGAGAAAACACCCCCCCCGGGGCGGGGATGGCCACGCCGCAATCCTTTTGCCCCCATTCTTCTCTTGGGATCTTGGGCATGCACACACACGCATCCAGCGTGAGTTTGAAGCCACTGGGTCCAGGATTCAAACTGCGGTCAACTACATGGGAGTCCAGCAACATAGCCATTACGTTAACTGCTGGTCCCTCGCAACATAATTTTTAAAACTAGGCAGGAAAGTAAAACTTAAAGTAATTTTGAACAGTTCACTCACTGTCTCTAAAAATACTGGCACAAATTGTGCTTTTTATTAGTATTTATAACACCCAGGGCAGAAAATAAAAAACCAAAATGACCTCGTGATTCTAATATAAAGAACAGGTTATGTATACAGACTTCACCCTAAGGCTGCCCAATAGAACTTCAGTGACCTTGAAAATATTCTTCTCTTGGGACCAGCAGTTGGCATAATGGCTGTGTCGCTGGACTTCCATGTAGTTGACTGTGGTTCAAATCCCGAACCTGGTGGCTTAAATTTATGCTGGGCACATGTGCATGTGTGCCCAAGATCCCAAGAGGAGAATAGAGGAGAAGGGATTGCGGCATGGCCATCCCCGCTGGAGGGGTGATTTCTTGCTTTTTGTCTCTCTGTCTCTGTTTTTCTGGTGAGCACATGTGCCCTATAGCATAAACCTCCCCACCCCCACCAAAAAAAAGAAAGAAAGAAAATGTTCTGTTCTGCCTATCCAACATGGCGGCACTAGCCACGTGTGACTTTTGAGCTCTGGATCCCTGGCTAGTAAACTTGAGGGACTGAGTTTTTAATTGTATACATTTTAATTAATTTAAACTTAGATACCAATATGTAGCTAGTACTTTCCATCTTGGTTAATACAGCACAGCTTTTTACATTTATATTTATAGTTTTTCTTTCTTTTCTGGAAAAGTTCACTCTGACGTACAGTTTTGCAAATCTCCCAAGTGGTAACACCTTGGAATCCAATAGACAACTACAGAACCAGAGACAGAGCTGATCACCAATAAGGCAAACTAGCACCTGTTATTAACTATCAAGTATGGCCAAACCTGCAAAGCAACACTCATTTTAACTGAAGATTTCCCTTTGCAGATTCAACTAAAGAACAGAAGTGCACTTCATTTTTCTTTTCCCAGAACCAGCAAGGGATAAGTTGAGAAAGAAAAGGAGTTAGGGGTGAAGCAGTCTGGAGAAGAGGAGATTCAGGCTGTATTAATTTCAGATGACAGACAATATATAATCATTCAAAAGTAAGGTCTTCGGGGTGGGGGATAGGATCCCCTACCAGGGTTCTCACACCATCACTCACCTCGGTCACAGCCGGCCAAGACGCAGTCATGCCTGAGCCTGAGCCTGGTGTGCTCATGGAGGTCCTGGGACGTGAACCCGGGACTGTGGCCATGACACCACCGCACTACCAACTGCTCCCCAGAGGGATTCGTTTTTTCTAATTACACTTGTAATCAGCTAAAATAAGTTTCTATCTGTAAGTCAGTTAAAATAAAAACTTCTATATATAAGCAGTTCTTATAAGAAAGCGACCTTCACTGACAGACCTCCTGAAATGAAATGTCCGGATATAATAAGGGATTCTGGAGCCCATGACCTAACCTTAGCCACGTATACCGACCATAGAACAGTTTTACATGAAGCTTCAAAAGTAACGAAAGTATGATAGAACGTAACTGGTCCGCATGCAATCATCTGTTTTAAACCTCTCTATGACATGTGGAGGTATTTAAACTCGGTAATTCCAAGATCGCTATCTGCTTTGCACTGGGTCATCGGAAAAGTCATGATGTGTTTTTCTAAGTGAAAACGAGTCATGACTTCCACGACCCAATATTGCATTATGTCAGTCTAAGCTGTAATCCTTTACCTCGCTTCCAGGTATAAAAAAGTATTGAAAATAATTCCTCAGGCGTTTGAATGGCTAGCACATAAATTAATAATATCCGATCAAGAATTAGTCCACGTATGCATGCATACTCCATCTCCCTCCTTTATTTAAAAATGTGGAGGGAAGGATGCAGGAATTTTGGCTATTAAGAAAAAAAAAAATCTAGGGGCCAGCAGGTGGCATGGTGGTTAAGGGCACTGGACTCCCACATGGCGGAACACATTTACAGGACCAGTTTAATAGTGCTTCATTATTGTATCTGATTTAAATCTGCCCTATCCTAGTGTCAGTCAGGGACAGGGAGCTGACACGGGACGGGGCATGTTGTGTCCTTCCATATCCCCCTGCTGCCCTGTTACATGGGACTATATGCAGTTCTGTAACGCAGTCGCAGACCTGGTGGCTTGTTTTCTCACTCTCTCTCTCTCACTCTGTCCCTTTTTGGTCAAATGAAAATAAATAAGTTAAATAATATAATTTAAAAAAAGAAAGAAAGAAAAATCTATGGGACATGGGATAGCCAGAAAGAGCTGGAACTCACACACTATGCTGTGTAGGAACAAAAAAATATATACCAAAAAAAAAAGT